TCTTGAAACCAATAATGCAAGAGTAAGTGATTCTCGCGCCCGAGGCTAACTATGTCGGGTATCCTGTGCTGGTATCCAGGTTGAAGGCTGGGCTAATATACAAGGGAATAAGAAAGAGTCTAACAGTTCCTATCCGAGGAGATCCTGAGAACAATCGGACCTACCGGCTGGTGTGGGCGAGCACCAGAAATGTGCATTCCTCTAACTCGTGCGATTCCCTACGGCACCCTGACCACCTTCGTTAGAACTCGAATTAGAATTAGATTTCACTGGGAGGAAATTAGTTATCCGTACATTTAATTATCAATTAACACTAAATTAGTCACGGCGGAATTAGCGTCTGATACAAAAAGAATAAATGAATAATGTTGAGTTTAAGCGAAAGTTTAAGTAATTTCTGGTTCCGAGCTGTGTGGAAGTAATTCGACCTCAGACCTGTCTGCGTTTATGATGCATGCGTGAGTTTCTCCTTTGCGTACGAGTAAAGTTATCCGCTGACTCGAGTACGGTGTATGTATATTAGCGGTCGTTTCCCACGGAGGTGGAGGGAGGGTTGAGGACGTTATGTTGGGTATTAAGGGTACCGACTTAGTTGAGATTTCTGGATTAAGCGGATCCACGAGTTTGATAGTAATGCTCTAAACTTATAAGGCAACACAATGGATACTACATTTGGCATTAAGGTGCTACGTGATGTCCGCGTTAACGTCATGAGTGAGTCGTTTGGGCCGAGTTTTTTCTAGGCCTGCCATTTTTTTACCCGAGATTTTGCATCGATAGAGACCTTCAGCAGTCTTTTTCTTCTTGCAATAATTATGATGATGATTATGTCTTTGATGTTCTAAGCAGTATTCCAGCCGACTTTGCATCACATGTGATGATCCCGAGCCGGCATACCATATAGACAGTTCCGAACGGAATGAGGAAAGTTTGATGGTCTGTACGCGTGATTACCATGCCAAGTGTCTTAAACTCTTTGGAATTTAAAAGATTGTCTTACGTAGATAGTCATACGTGAGCTGAAGAATATATATATATATATATATATATATATTTATATGGGTTACAAATGAATGCTTTCCGATGGTGTATTGCTTGATCGTAGATCACTGAGATCTCGGTAGGCTCAGTACATTGGCAGAGGAACGCACTGGGAACTAAGACACTTACTGTTAAAGTTAAGTGTAAATCAAGATTCTGCGTAGGAAGAAAGCGCTGCTGGTGTTTTAGTATTTTTTTATCGGGCAAGTGGAACTGAGAATAAGTCTCTTGTTGTTTTGTTGCCTCTTCTTCTTCTTCTTCTTCTTCTTACTCTTCTTTAGCTTCAGAGTTTGCTGTTGTCCTCCTTAGTGCTGTTACTTGTTCGTCTTCTTGAGGTTGTTCGGAGCGCATCAGCTGGCTGACAAGGCGTATAATTAACCCCTAATGACGCCGACATAAATCCATCTCTCGAGTCGTATCGGTGAAGCAAGTCTAGAAAAGCTTTATTGGCGAAATCACCCGGCTAACATTGGAACTTTGTCTACTGTCATCTATTTTCCATCGTTACTCTTTGCACCGTTGTACCTAACCGTTCCTCGAGCACATTCACGTCCACGAACAACATGACTCGGCTGATTCATCCAACTAAACCTTCACTGAATACCCGGTTAAATATTTTATTTGTTGCCCTTTGCTGCCCATTATTATGTTTATTATTATTATTCCTGTCCTATAAACTTGTAATTAATATCCACATTTATTACACTTTACTCACTTTAATATTGACGCTGTACGAACACCCTTAAAGGCATTTTATTTTATTATATTTCCTCGATAAATACGACAATCTAACGACTGCACGTGTCCTACTACAGCAATTACAATAACAACACCATCAACAACAAATAATATATGTGTTTTTCTTTAGTACTCATCAGTGTAATATACAATATATCATATATCATATCTAACGACGATGTTGCGTTATAAAATAATAATAATAATAATAATAATAATAATAAAAAAATAGTAAATTAAAACTAGTAATTCTGGTCTCTCGGATTGATTGCAATTATATTCACACAAGCTGGTACTACGAGCCCGGATTTTCCTCACAGTCATAATATCAGAGCATAATTATAATCGCTCCTCTCTCTCGTTCCCTCCGCGGTAATTTTCCGTTTGATTTGCTTACAATATATTAAATACAAAGTTAGATTATATTCTCAGAAAATCATTAAGCATATCAATTTATATGCCGAGTTGTTGAGAAAAAAATAAAATAACAACACTTATTAACAAGATCCACCAGTGTATCAACATCAACGAGATTAAAAGTTAACGAGATAGAGGTATAAGATTGAGAAAAAAAATATTTAATTACTAATGTGTTTATTTAATTGTAAATAATCGAGAGTGAGCCTCTGATCTCTGATTTAATCCTTTCTCATATTGATCTCACAATAACTCACTCGTTAAAGAATAACTCAAGAGCCAAAGAATTATCCCAAGGAAATAACGAGCATTCATTTATTTAATGCTCGATTTGCACCTCGTTTACAATAAGTTAAGTCTCTAAGTACATACGAACTTTAAATCGAACATGCTCTGTCCATTCGCGTGTGCTTTGAGAAACGATCTCAAAATTAGCGAGCAAGGGAAGAAGAAGAAAGGAATCGAGGGCGCGAAATTGTGAGAAGATAAAAAAATAATATTTTCTGATCTTCTTCGTACCATTAACTTGGTTTTATTTTTATTTTTAATACACGGATCCATTTATAAGAGTGTTATCGTGCATCAGAGGAGCCACGCTCAAACCAATTACGTTTTCAGAGCCGGAAAAGCCCAGGCTTAAATTACAATCCGGCGTAAGATAAAGAAGCGAGCCGAGTACGAGGAACAAAATTGTATAAAGTATAAAGGGGTTTTGTTTTGTTTTGTTTATTTTGTTCTTCTCGGTTAAAAAATAAGGAAGGAGCAGCAAGAAGAGCATGGCCTTTGGGGAGAAGTTGCCTGCTGTTGTTGGCTGATACTCGAGAGCAGCTTTTAAGCTCGTACATCACTCCGTCGGTTACGCCTCTTGTATTTGCTTAGTCGTGCTCGGGGGAGGTACCGAACAAGGCGGCGATGAAACAATTAATAATATACGCTCGCGCGTGAGTCGAGACCGCGAAATTCATGTAGATGATGCTACGGCCTTATAAACTTACTCGTACTTATATTCATACTGGTAATGTTAAATGTTTTGTTGTGTGCACTAGTACACGGAAGGTACATTTTTAAAATTCATTTTTTACGACATGGATTAAATTAATGCCTTGTTTATTTAATTTATTGACTGGACAAAAAATAATAAATACTATTATGATTATTATTATCATTATTTTTTTTTTCGCAATCCACTCGCTGGACATTTTTTCTGTTTATTTATTTATTTTTCTGGGGTTATCTTGATTAAAAGTTTATGTTGAGATAATTGTTTTATGAAAAGTGGTATCAGGTCATGTAAACAGGTCCCGAGAATAAATTTTAAGTATATATATTTATATTATAATATACGTATAGAAAGCAACCGGCAACTGGCTGTGTCCCACTCCCACGACAGCGCCCTAGGGAGTCGTTTTGTATCCTCCATGTCGTCTTAGTCGTTATCAAATTATCATCCTCGTGCAAATTCTCGTGGTACGGTTTTGATACACACCAACACCGCCCACCCTCGCAATACTCCCGCCATAGGGTCCACGGTGGGCGTCGTTGTAATTAATTTCCCCTCGATAATTAAGATATCCCCTCGAATTGCTCCGGGCTCCATATACCAATATAATAAAACGCTATTATTTAATCTCTTATTTATTATAATTCCTTTTTTTTGCTCTACTGGATTTTTATTTAGTTAAAATATTGTAAAAATAAATAAAAAGGAGTAATTTCTGGAGGATGAAAACTTTGCTGATATACATGTACTGATGGTGGTTGAAGATGATGTGATGTAGATGGAGAAAGACAAGACAGCTTTAAGATGAAGGCGAAGAAAAAGATAAAGAAGGAGAGAAAAGTTGACTAGACTTGCGAGAGAACGGGGTGTGGGAGTTCTTGGCTTTGGGTTCAAAGGTTTGCGATTATAACATTCCGGGCATGCCGTTTCGTGTGCATCAATTCGGTACGCCAGTTCCCGCTTTCCAAGACTCACAACCCAACACTTGAGTCTCTCATACACCACACATATTTATATCTTACACAGAATACTGAATACGGACATAGATATAGATACTCTACGCTGATATTGATGCAGCTTTTAAAATATATTGGTTATCGTTTTCAAGTAATCTTATAATCGTTTAATTTTTAATTGCGATAATGATTTTACGTGTATGATTCAAGCCTACAATCGATTGTTTGATTCCATCTTTGAATTACCTGTTATGTTACAATAATAAAAATGATAATAAATTTATGTCGATGGACGATAAACAACAAATTTATACATAATACATTGGTAATTATTATGTAGATTAGTAATTGACACGATAAATTTTTTAAAGAAGAAAGTTCATAATAAAGTTGTATAACGCAGAGAAAAAAACCTCATTAGTTTGATCTAAGTACTTTTAAATGAGCAATTAATCAAATGTTTGTCCGATAAGAAAATTAGTAAATCACTTAAGAGGATGTAAAATGGTATCTTGACATAATATTTTTAAAATTAAAGTTTGAAGTTATTTTCTGTCATTATCAACTTTTTTCAAGTGTTTTTGTTCAATGACAATGACAGAGGACATTGTAAAAAGTCGCTGCTGCTATCTAATATTGAGTTCTGTTGCCATACGGCATTTTTGCTGCAATAGCGATATATAAAGAGCTATCTGTTATCACTATGGCCAGGGACTTCGTATGGAAGGGGTAACGCACGAGCATCAATTGTTTTACCCCTTCCATACGAAGTCCCTGGTCTTAGTTATCACAAACCCACTAACAGAATTTTTTTTTGTGGAATAGAACAGTCGCAGTGCAAGGCATGAAAAATTAGAGTTGAAATCATTAAGATGAATATAATTAATTTGGTTCTTACCTTGACAATAATTGAAAGTACTGCTGGAACCAATGAAAGTGAACATCGATTTCCTGATGACTTCATTCTTGGAGTTGCTACGTCGGCTTACCAAATTGAAGGAGCCTGGAATGTTTCAAGTATAAGATAATAATAATAGTCCAAATAACTATTTTTGGCGAAAAATAATATGAGATATAAATTTCAGATAAAGGTGAATCGATTTGGGACAGAATGACCCACGATAAGACACAGAAAATTGCCGATAGAAGTGATGGAGATACTGCTGATAATTCTTACTATCAATACAAAGAGGACATTGAATTAATTCAACAGATTGGAGTAAGTTTTTATTACATTAATTATAATAATAATTATAAAAAAATATGAAAAATTCCAGGCAAACGCTTACAGAATTTCTTTATCATGGCCAAGAATTCTGCCAAATGGTTTCGATAATTCGGTCAACAGGGAAGGAATCCAATATTACAACAATGTAATAGATGAAATGCTTGAGAAAAATATCACGCCGTTTGTTACAATTTACCACTGGGATTTGCCTCAAAAGCTCCAATATTTAGGCGGGTGGGAGAATCCAGAAATTTCTAATTGGTTTGTCGACTACGCGAGAGTTGTCTTCAATGAGTTCGGCGATAGGGTAAGTGTTGAATAATTGAAAAAAATTTTTTTGAAAATTTGATATTCACTTTCGATCAGGTGAAACATTGGATAACCCTCAATGAGCCGAATATTTTTTGTATCTTCGGTTATCATAGGACAGATGCCCCTGGACTCGATAAATCGGGACGAGGAGATTACACTTGTGGTCACAATGCTTTGCTTGCTCATGCTAAAACGTACAAAATGTACCAAGAGGAATTCAGAAAATCGCAACAAGGTTTTACTTTGTATAACTTTATAAAAATAATATCGAATGTTTGATTAAAATATAATGATACATGATAATCGTAGGTAAACTCGGATTCGTAATGTCGTTCGGTTGGGTATATCCACAAAACCCCGACGATCCTGAGGAAGTGGCTGGAGCTAAATTATCATGGCAGTTTTGGTACAGCTGGTTTTTACATCCGATTTTTTCTCATAAAGGCGACTACCCTCGAGATATGAAGGACCGAATCGCTAACTACAGTTCGGTTCAAGGATTTTCTCGGTCACGATTGCCTCAATTCACTGAAGATGAGATAAAGTTGGTTAAAAACTCAGCAGACTACTTGGGATTCAATTTCTACTCAGCTCGATACGAAACTAAATTAACTGATTACGATATCAATAACGTATCTTTTCAACACGATATTGGAATGATTCCAACTGCTAAAGCTTTTACCAAAGATCGAGTAAGTCATTAATTAATAATTTTTGATTAGTACTCTATCAATTTTTTTTTGTATCTTTAGTGTACTCCATGGGCCATGGCCAAAACGATGAGACATATCAATAAAGAATTCACAATTCCGGAATTTTACATCACTGAAAATGGCTACTCGGATGTCGGAGGTTTAAACGACGTGAATCGAGCCGAATACTATCTTCTTCATCTCACTGAAGTCACGAAATTGCTTAAAGAAGGACTAAATATTCGCGGATACTTTGCTTGGTCACTTCTGGACAATTTTGAATGGAGTTATGGCTACACGCAAAAATTCGGAATTTTTTCCGTTAATTTCACGGATCCAAAACGAGCGCGAACTCCTAAGTTGTCGTCGAAACTCATAACTCAAATTTATAAATCTAAAATTGTTCCTTTGTCTTTTTCAACTACCATCAACATAACAACTGTTTAAAAAAATACTTTGTATAATTATGAAATACATAAATGTACAATAATTTATTGATAGTGTGGTTATCATTTTTTTAATTAGTTACGATCATTGATTTGGATGATTTTCAAAGAAACTTTTGGTTATTTACTTGTAAATAAATATCAAGGTCAAGTGGGCTCGAATCGAGGCATTTGAATATTTAGGTAGCAAATTACATGTTAGTCGTAACGTCAGCTGCTTACGAAAGCAGATACGATTATTTACTAAAAGAGTTGTTCGTTTCTGAAGAATCAATTTAGTAAAGCATGAACACACATTACATCAAAAGTCAATATCTTTCTTATAAAATACAGAAATGCGTCTAGTTTTTTAAAACTTTTCGTAGTTCTTTATAAACTATTTCAGATGGGTTATAAAAAAAATTACAAGCTGAAGTTTGAAGACAAATTGAAAAAGTTTTTATCTAAGTAATCATATTTTTATTTTTTTTTAAATTCTGAAATATAATTACTGATAACAAAAGCGCTAGTAATAAAATTTTATATTTCATCAGATTTATTTGTAGCTTATATGATATAATCATAAAAAAACACCTTCAAGAAAACAAGTTAAAATTTTGTCACGTATTAAATTCCTTTATAATTGCGTAATTTAATTCTATTATTTTTAAGTGTTATTATTATACAAGTTATTTCATTAATAAAAAAATCTTCTACTTTTTTTTTATCCTATCAATACTGAAAAATAAATACTGAGTATTTTCATTAAATTAACCATTGATAAATTTCCATAAAATAATTCTGAATTTCCTTTTAAAAACCAAATAATAATTCGTAAAGCAACTTAAAACGACATCATTAAAAACTCGTTAGATAAGAAGTATCACGCCACATAAATATTGCTTTGCGTTTATTGACTTTAAATTTATTTTCTAACTATTGTAACAAACAACACGCGTTAACGACAAGCAATAAAAAACTGTATTTTTAGGTAGATTTCATAAAATCTATCTATTGCATTGGCCCTTGTGTCAAAAATTCACACAGAATTTCGTTACTATATC